GCTGCAACAGTTGCAGCAGCACCATCGCTACGGTCCTGCGGAAACGATCTTTGTAGTCCCGGGTCCTGTACTGTAAGACCGGGTGTTGCACATATGTACTAAGTCTTAGAAGTGGTCAAGTGATTAAGGATGATGAGCCAAAGCATAGCTAAGACTAGCTAGTTATGACTAAACTAGTTAGTTATAACTAAGTTTATCTAGTCATGACTAAGTTTAGCTACAATGTCTATAGTTGGCGGAATAATTAGAAAAATTCTAGAAGAATGGAGTGAGCACTTCTATTTTGTCTTTTACAAGGAGTGAGCACTTCTATTTTGTCTTATACAAAAGTTCTAGATTCCAAGTGATTAGATATTTGACTAGAAGCTTGGATTTGATTGGTTTGACTAAATGTATGAAAGATGATTGGCTAGACTAAGTCTAAGGTTGACTTAGTGGCTAGGAAGCTTGTAGAAGTTTAAAAGCTTCAAATGGCATGTCGCCACCTCAACCTTGGATTCCGGAAGCTTCTAGAAGGTTTAGGTAGGCCAATGGCATGTTGCCACGTAGAGAAGGTTAGTCAAACTTACCTAGGTAAAAGTAAGTTAGGAAAAATTACCACATCTTACTATGGTAACTTCTCAAGTAGTATAAATAGAGAGGTAGAGTATCAACTCTCAAGCAAGTTTGGAGAGTTCATATGTAGAGACTTGTTTCATATATGAAAGAGTGACGAATTTTCAGTACCTTGGAGTGTCGATGAGTGTATGAGTTGGAGTGATACCTTGAGAGATTGTGTGAGAGGGTGTTTAGGTTATGAGTATGATGCGGAATCCTAGTCTTCTAGAATCATGATGAGCTACCGAAAAGCCATCTGAGGTAAACCTGAGTGAGAGTCAGCCCGGAGGTTGCAGTACCCGTTCTTGGAGGATCTCTCCCGCTTGAACAATTCCACAAAGGAGGCTTCGTCCGCCTTCGATACCTTGACGCTCTCACTGTCGAACAGGAGGTACCCGTCCTCACCTGCACACCTTCCCAATGCCTGTCCCCAATCGCGGACAGTCCATCGATCTACGTGCGGACGGAATCCGCACGTAGGTTGCCGTTCCTCGTCCAGCCATTCGCGCACCATGTATGCGCACACGTAATTCCATCCCCACAGTAAAAATTCAAGTTTCCTCGTAATCAGCCGGTTCTCAAAAGCACGCAACCCATTCTGCGGGAGCTTGAGTGGCACCATCCGCAGCTTCACCGATGTCGACATCGCGTTCTTGAAATTGGTTTGCGCACCTCTCTCTCTGCTATGCCCGAGCCTCTTGCTCGCGGTTCTGTTTCCTTTGCAAACTCTAATCTCTCTCAATTTCAAATGTCGCGCACTCAATTCTCTCCCTGCCACCGGGTAACTCTCCGCGCGGTGGTGTCTAGAACGTCTCTCAGCTAGAAGGTGGACGCGCGCAGCTCGCACAAGGAATTGAAATTGCAAATTCAAGAATGGGGTGTCCTCTGTCTGCTCGTAGGGGGTCATGGTCGGCTCTCAGTCGTGAAAGCCGAATCACTTGATGGCTGCGCCGGCTCCGAGGTATAACGGCCTTCTCTCTCACGCGCGGCTTCACGCTCCGCCGACGCGCCTTCACTCACACGCTCAAATTGGCGATTTGAACTCTGCCAACGCACTACGCCGCGGCCATGGTCGAGCAGCGCCGAAGGCGGATTTCTCGCCAACGCGCTACATTCATCCGTACTTCGACTTGGCTAGTCCCGCTCCGCCGAAGGCGTTCGTCCGCGCATAGGACAAAAACCGAACTCCCTTCTGCGTAGGCGGAATCCCCGGCGGAGTTTCCGCCGGCGTCGAACTTCATCCGCCTGTGCATATGCGCTCGCCTATGCGTAGGCGGAACCCGTCCGCACACAAGACGCTCGTCCGCGCAGGTCCCTCGCCGTAGTCGCAGTGCCGAAGGCGGTTGTGCCGAAGGCGTTGACCGCGGTCAACGGACTCCGTCCAGTCTGTCCATCTCTCTCGCCTCTCCGTCGTCGCTCTTGTCTCCGAAATCCCGACCGGCCGAAGGCGCACTCGTCCGTACAGTCCGTACCGATTTCGCTACTCCGTTGGGTCCTCACCTAACCGTGATGCGTTGGCGCCGAAGGCGCCGTACAAGTTCCAACCCCGAAGGCAGATTTCTAGGGCCGAAGGCGGACTTCCCGCCAACGCCGAAGCGCCTATGCGTAGGCAATCTCCGTCCGCCTATGCGTAGGTGCAAGTCCTCCTCGCCTATGCGTAGGCGGCATTCTCGGCGGACTCCCCGCCGACGTCAAACCCAATTCGCCTATGCGTAGGCGAAAGTCTTCGTATCTTTCGACCGTCACAACTCCCTGAGTCCTGATCCGTTCCTGGCGTTCTTGGGCTCGTTAGAATTAGCGCGTCAAGCTCTTACCAATGAGATCCTAATCAAGTCAAGACGTTTGGGAATTGCATAGATTTTGAGGGATTCCTCTAGCGCCAAAATCGTATCGCCGAAGGCGGATTATGCGCCTTGCGCCGAAGGGGAACTCTTTCAGAGCCCGTCGTTCAGGGCGGCGCCTGTTCCAGACATTGCGCCCAACTCCTGGATTCTACGAGATTCTCCGAGATCATCCAGTTTCACTCTATTTTAAATGTACCTATGGCTATTTACACTATTGCCGCGGTACAGTTTTTCAAAAAATGTTCTAAATTCCGCAAAAATACCAAAAGTGGGTTACCACAAGTGAATCCCTCATAACTTTCTCAATTCAAATCCACTTCACTTGGTTAGGGTTTCGTTGAAAAGAGCTTAATACTATCGTTCTAACGAGCCCAGAAATGCTTAGAATGAATAATAGATCAATGAGTTATGAGTGTCGGAAGTTACTGATAGGGAGGCCTTCGGGTCAAGCGCCTTCGGGGCAAGGGCCTTTGGCGGTAGACACCTTCGGCGGTACGCCTTCGGCGTCACGTGGCAGAAGATTCCCGATGGCAGAAATTGGCGGGATTATGTCAAGTGTGGGAAGCGGAACTGCGGGGCGTGAAGTCGCGCGTGGGAGGCAGAACGGCGGGGCGTGAAGTCGCACGTGAGGAGCAAGCCCTTACCCATAATCGCGGGAACGGCATTCAAGCGGCATGTGGGTCCCCCGGACCTTGGATTTTGATGAAGTAATTTCGGCCTGGGTTCAGAGATCTTGCGGGGCCCATATCTTTGCGATGGACGGTCGGATGAATCTGAAATTTGGTGGGGCCGTTGGTCTGAGCCGGCCACGCATGCTTGCAAATTTTCAGCCTCAGATCTTGGATGTAAAGCGGTTAAAGACGTTGGCGGCTCTGTACAGTAGGCTTAGGATTCAGATTAGGGTTAGATTTAGGTTGTAAGATAGAGGAGAAGGTAGTCGCCGACTCCTCAGGTGTAGGATCTGTTGCGGCTCGCACCATAGCAGGTAGTGTAGTGTTAGTTAGGACTTAGAGGGTATAAATTAGTTCAAGGCGTCTTGCCTTGCGATTCTTCAAGTTTTGGAAGTGCAGATCAGGAACTCATTTTCTCTGCGTGTTTGTGTCCTTAGTTATGTCACCGCACAAGAGGAGCTACAGCTTGACGAAGATACCGCAATTTGTAGTTGAAGGCCTTCGGCCGAATGTTCAGAGCCAGTGTATTTGTTAGATTCTTAAGCAGTTTGGATCTACACTTGCGGTTGATTGTTGAATGCTCAGAGCTAGTACCTGGTTAGATACTTGAACAGTTCATCCCTACACCTTCGGGTGATTGTTCTTGATTGTACTCCTTCGGGATGTTTTCCCTGAATGCCAAAGTGAAGTTTTGTTACTTCAAGTAAGCCTTGGTTGTAATTCAGGTACGATGCAGAAGGCGCCCTCGGGGCAAACCTGTGTAGTATTTTTGGGAATGACTAGTGCCTGAGAATTCAATCTCGTCAATAGACTATTATGGTGTGCCACAGGATCTTTTCTCAGTTGAGTTTCTTAGTTCAGACATGTATTCTCTGCGCGTTTTGTGAGTTGAGTGTGTTGTTCACCGCGTGTGAGTGACTTCAGTTTGACGAAGATACCGCATCCGAAGTAGGAAGTCCAAACCGGGTGCCCTGCGCTAGCAGAAACTAGTGGAAGGGTTGTAAAAGCCGAAGTTGGGAGTTGTGGAAAGTGAATTCCACTGGTAACCGGCCAAACAAGTATTTCTGGCAAAAAAAATTTTAAAAAAATGAAGTTTTCTTTTATAGCTACAGTAAGTTTGTAGGTTAGAAAGTAATAACTACGGGATAAGAAGGTCGGAAAGTCGAAACAAAGAAATGAATTAGGGGAGGCACGGATTGAGGAGCAGGAAGCAGCACAAGTTCCCACAGAGGGATGTACACGACCTTTTGCACAACGATCTAAGGATTGCATTAGGGCTGTTCGGTGATCTCATAAGGAGTGGATTTGAATTTGGTGTTGGAAGACGAGCACGATCTTGAAGACTATACAATGTTGCCAGATCGGTGGAGGGTGGAGGAGATGGAGTGGTTCTTGAATGGGTAGCAGTGCACTAGGTTCAGTACGCGGGTAGATCTGTCGGGGAAGAAAGGTGCGGCGAAGAAGGAATGACTGGTGCGTTATAGGGGAGGAGGAGGGCTCGAACGAGCGAGAAGAGAAGGCTTTGTTTTTGCTTTGAGAGTAGGCTGAGGGTTTAAGAGGTTAGGCGATGGTAATTGCAGGTATGGAGAAAACAAAGGCTCTGGCCGCGGGGAAAAACGGGTAGACGAAGGAGGAGGGCAGAGGACGGGTGGGGAGTGTATAGAAGACTCTAGTCCTGGTCTTGTGGCTGCTGGCTCTTTGGGCTGGCTCGTCGTCCGCAGTTCCCGGTTCTGCAATTTCCTCTTCGTGTGCAGGCGCAGGCGCAGAGGCCAAGAGGAACCTGGGCGGAAGAGCGCGAGGATACGAGAGTGCAGAGGCTTATATTTTTTATTTGGTTTTTTAGGGTTAAAGCGCTTTGAGCACAATGACGGAAAGTAAAGGTGAAGCAATGAGGGAGAGTGGTGGCGGTACGCCTCTTTGGCTCGAGTCTTGGAAGCTACGCGACGAAGGTAGCGGAATACTGGAGTCATCAAAGGTGTTACTTGGAGCTGATTCTGATTTCAAAGTGGGTGCAGATATTGCCGCTTCTGAAAATATCATACCCCTGTCGCCGCAGTGGCTTTTTTCCAAGCCTACAGAAAGCAAACCACCCATTGCCACCATGGAACCCCCGCAGACACCGGGGACCCCAAGTCATGGTGGGCTCACTAGTGAAGCTCTTATAAAGGAGCGATGGCGGGGTGATGGTGTTGCCCGTGGGGATGGAGGACGAGATGTCGGTAGAGATGGCGGTCGTGACGGAGGGCGGGATGTGACTAGAGACGCAGAGAGGAAGCGGGATTAGTGGAGATCCATATCATTGGAACGCAATGCTGACAACAGTCGTCGTGATCGCTGGCGGGAAGAGGAAAGAGAAAACAGCACTGCCGCGCGTAGGGATCGATGGAAAGAGGGAGAGAGGGAGACAGCAGAAACTTGTCGAGGGGAGAGATGGGCTGAAAATAATGCAGGTAGAGACGCCACAGAACTCCGTCGCCTTCCGTCCGATAGGTGGACCGACACAGCTAACAGGGAGACTAGCTTTGAGGCTCGGAGAGACAGTAAGTGGAGCACTTGTTAGGGTCCAGAAGACAAGGACAAAGAGTATCGGAGAGAGAAATGGTCAGAGCCGGAGAAATCCGTCACCCGCGACTACCGTCGCCCGTGACCACCGTCGCTGTTATGACTGCCAACGTTAGTACCACCGTTGACAATGTTGTTGCTGACGAGTGCTGGCGCTTTAACCTTGTATGCGTCAACCACGTGAGCGCGTACCCTAAACTCCAAACTAAACCCTAAAATTTTTTTACTTCTTCTTCTTTTTTTCTTTTTTTTTTCCCGCTAACTACGTCCACAACTGACCACGTTCACAGTGACCTCCTTCGATTTCAACCACGTCCAACCTAACACTGACCCAGACCACGTCCAACTACGAAGGTATAGAACCCTAACTGTGTGGCCGTCTACCATGTTCAACAAGATGCTGACCACGTCCAACTACAACTATGTAGGGAACTCTTCACAGTCTATTCCTTCTGCCTCGCGAGTCTTATACATTAGGAAGTACTTTTAACCATGTCCACAGCAGTAGCTCAGTGGATATTACTTCGCGCAAGCAAGCTGGAGGTCGTGGGTTCAAGTCCCTCCCGAAACGTGTCCTCACGCATGTGATGATCCGCGCCGCTCGGCTACCACCCGCGAAGTGTCCTCGCGCGCCGCTCACAAAGTGCCCCGTTCTCGCGAAGTGTCCTTACGCGTTGCTCACGAAGTGCCCCGTTCTCGCTCTAGTGGTAACCTGCGCCTCTCGGCTTCCACCCGCGAAGTGTCTTCGCCCGACGCTTGCGAAGTGACCCGTTCGCGCAAGGGTTTACCCTCGACGCTCGGCCTTGTGTGATTGCGCATGGCGGTGCTCGCGCCAATCGCCTCTCCACCCCGCGAAGTGTACTCGCGTAGGGGCCTCGCGCCGCTCGCAAAGTGCCCTGTTCGCACAAGGGTTTACACGCGCTGCTCCACCTGGTGTGACCGCGCAGGGCGGTGCCTGGGCCGCTCGCCTCCCACCCACGAAGCCGCCGCTCGCCTCCCACCCGTGAAGTGTCCTCGCGCAGGGACTACCCGCACCGCTTGCGAAGTTCCCCGTTCGCGCAGGGGGTTGCCCGCGCGGCTCGGCCTCCTTCAATCTTGAAGCTTTAATAACTCGGCCCTCCGACTACAGAAAAAACTGATTAGTATGAACGTTTAGCTTCAACGCAGATTCTGAATCTGACGAGAAAACTGTCAGAAAACTTTGTGGGATCCGAAACCTAAAACCGACTTCAACGCAGATTCTGAATCTGACGAGAAAACTGTCAGAAAACTTTGTGGGATCCGAAACCTAAAACCGACTTCAACGTAGATTCTGAATCTGACGAGAAAACTGTCAGAAAACTTCGTGGGATCATAAAAACTAAAACCGAAGTAGCAAAATGAGACTCTCAACTTCAATTACCAGGGCTCATTGTCAGTCCCAAAAACATCGTAAAAAAATAAAATAGAAAAAATATCACTTGTGAGAAACTCTTTTGAAACGTTCAGAAAACCATCTACAAATTGTCACAGAAAACAACCATGGTAGTCTCCCAAACATACAAGCCATACGACAGTAATTTTTTTCAAACTCGAAGAAACTTCACAATCATCACAAAATCTTAAGTTAGAAACTCAAAATCGTCTCAAAAAACCATCACTAAAGTGTAACCTATCACTAAGGAAATTGTCATCAAAATTGTTCGTGAGAAAACCGTCAACTGAAAACTGTCACTAAGAAAACCTTCAGCACACAAACTCACTATATATCCGAAGCTAAAACCGGCTCTGATACCATTTGTTAACGTAAAATCAAGAACCATTCAAGCCAAGTATGAAGACACAAGACACTTAGATATAATGTGGTTCATCCTCGAGGGCTACGTTCACGGCTGGAACACTGAGCACGTTTACTGACAAGTGAATACACAATACTTCAGCTCCACTGAAAAGACTTAGCTTTGGGGGTATATTTATACCCAAAGCCAGCGACACACATAGCTATAAATAGCTAGAGCCTGAGATTACTCCTTAACCGAAGTTAACTCAACACCTTGGAGTTCATGGAACGTGACGAGAGGACTCGGCAGAGTTGCAACCCATGCAGTTGGAGAGGTTTCTCATGCGGAAGTTGCTACGAAGGAGTGTACAGAGACCCCTTCTTTGGAGGATGTGGCGTAGCAATCAGTGAGAGTATCGCCTTCCTCTAGTGTGACTATGGAGGAATGGGCACCATTGATTGGTTACCAGATCACAGGAGGAGAGAGGCGACAGTTGACACAATTTCTACGAGATCATAGGAATTGTTTTGCTTTCTTTATGAAGTAGTTGGGTGTTTTGATTGGACCCTGTATACGGATAGAATTGGCTAGTGATACGCCAATCTTCTATCGTCTGTACCGATACAGTGAGATGGAGAGAAATTTGATTCGGAGTAGGACTTTGGACCTATTAGATACTGAATTAGTGAAGTTATCGCATGGTGAGTATGCTTCAGCCACTATCATGCTGGTGAAAAAGGATGTACATGGCAACTACACGGATAGGTGCATGTGTGGAAACTACCGTCCTATCAATCGACACACAAAGTCTGATAAGTATGCCATGCCTACACCTGAGGAAATCTTTGATGTGATGGGACATGCGAGGATTTTTAACACTTTAAATCTTCGGGCAGGATACCATCAGTTGCCAATTCGGGAGGAGTACAAGACCAAGACAACGTTTTGGGGCGTCAACTTCCACGGCAAGGATTGTTTATATCAGTGGCAATTCTTACACTTTGGGTTGAAGAATGCATTTGCCGAGTTTCATAGGGTTATGAACAGAATCCCGGCGGGGCTGGATTTTGTCTGATGTTACATTGATGATATCTTGGTGTTTAGTGACACTGTGCAGCAACACCAGATACATTTACAGATTGTGTTTGAGCGGTGGAGGGCTCATGGTTTGAGGTTACATCCTGGGAAGTGTAAGTTCTTCCAGGAGAAGGTTGAATACTTGGGTCATGTGATATACCCAGGTGGTTTAGGAGTTCAGCAAGCAAAGGTGGAGGCTATTGCACGCATCCCTCGTCCCACGGATGTGAGAAGAGTTTGTGCATTCATGGGTTTGGCGAACTACTACCGGAGGTATGTGAAGGGGTTCACTGCCATAGCCAAGTCTTTGAACAAGTTGTTGAAGTCAGATCAGGAGTGGCAATGGGGAGATGAGCAGGAGAGAGCTTTTGTTGAGCTCAAGGCAAGGTTGGTGGCCGCTTCCATCTTGAGGAGACTTATGAGAGGTCGTCTATACCAGTTGCACATTGATTAGAGTTTGTTGGGACTTGGAGCGGTGTTGACGCAACGTGATGATGAGGGCAAGGACTTTGTGGTTCCGTACGCTAGTCGTTCAAAACAATGCAGCAGACTCGCGGTATAGTTCGTACGAGGGAGAGTGCTTGGCAGTGATGTGGACTGTGGCACACTTCAGGTGTTATTTGTTTGATACGCAATTCACCCTTGTTACTGATCATTAGCCACTCAAGTGGTTGATAGAGTCCGACAAGCTCACATGGAAGTTTGCACGATGGGCTCTCATCTTACAGGAGTACGACTTTCAGGTAGTGCATAGTTGCGAACCTCGATGCCGATGATTTGAGTCGGAACCCATGCACTAGCCAGGAGGATGACAGTGGAGCTAGATGGCATGGTGAGGTTGACGAGGCGATGGTGACTGGTTGGCATGCATCTGCCTTCATGTGTTGGTTACGTGGAAACTCAAGCAAAGAGTATCATCTGACATCTTACTCTAGTCAGAGAGTAGATAGTAGATCTTCAGATCCTGAGGTTGAGGATGGTGGTGTGGATCAGCGTGATGTTCAGGTTGATGTTGCGTGGTGTTGGATCAACTCAATTTGATTTCTAACACTTCCATACCCCAACAATTCAGAATACAAACCAGATTAGTATGATGAGCATTGAGTTTTCGCACTATGGAGAATAAAAACAAACCAAATAGAGTACAAGAGATAAGTAACAATGCGTCAAAGTGGATATGAACTCCAATAAATGTCATTGGTATAAATTCTGGAAGTGTACATATTGGAGCAAAAGATTGAATATACAGTAGCTGAATGGAGTAACAAAAACTTTGATGATAATTCCAAACTTGTAGCATGCATGAATGGTTTCACAATCCGTAAAATGTCCATATAAATGCAAATTGTGGAACTTTCCATAAAAGTAGCGAGATCAATCTATCCCCATTATCAAGCGCTACGAATATATTTTTTAATCAACAAGAAATCATCTGTTGCAAACCATGAAACACTTCTGTCATCCCGCTACTTTCAATTTTTTCTGCCTAAAAATCCATTCGAAAGGCTAATTGCCGGGCCCCGTTTTAGCTCCCGTGGGGTGTCGATAATGAAGTCCAGTCTACCTGGCCAGTGCAAATCGACCTTTCCTTTCCTTTCCATCCCAACGATTTAGGGTTGAAGGAAGGTTGAAGGTTTTAGTAGATCGGCTTTCCAATCGACTCTCAAGCATCGGTCGTGCTCGTAGAGCAATCTCCACAGCGTCAGCGTTGGTAACCTTTCGCACAGCGAGTTAGGTCATCTCGATGACGAGAGTGACTGTGAGGCGCCAATATATAGTTGGCCCGACGGCTGCAGAAGTTGTAATGTAGGCAGCGTCGAAGACGTGGAGGAACACTCTTTTGTGTGTGTGAATCCATGGCCTTGCTTGTGAAGAGAGTGCTGCCTTTCCGTAGCACTGTCACCTGAGTTCGTGTTTCCCACGAGAGCTTATGGCGTCCGCACAAGATAGCGTCGCATTTCTCACTGCGCTGTCCACGGACGGGAGTGTGGACGGTTCAGTACCCCCTCTGGCCGTGTACACGGGTGAGAATATTTTCGGTAGAGATGACTGTCACGTTTTCGGAAAGAAGATTAGCAGGAAGCACTTGAGATTGACAGCCTGGTCGGACGAAAGGGAGGACCACTTTGATGTGTACGTGGTATGTATGCTGCCCTTTCAATTGTATTGGTAACTGGGACCTTTGGTGTGTGATAGTTGTCGTGAACAATGTCGGAGTCTACCAGCTCTAGGCATTTCAGATGCTGAAGTGAGCGCCCTAACAAGGCGACCTGCTACTAAAACCATGCAGAGTGCTTATACGCGGGTGCCACATGAAATGCCTCCTTGGCACGAGGGTGTACAAATTAATGTGCTTCTTTGTCTTTTGGAGGGGAAACTTCCTCGTAGTTGTAGACTGCATTTCTGGGTATCCTCGTTCGGAAATCAAATTATATAGTAGAGGTCTACGACCAGGCTTCTGAGCTCATTTATTGTTCACATGGCTCGATGCCTGAAATGCAACTTCCCATGGGCGGTAATTGGCTGCACACTGATCCGACGACGCCTTCCCTGTCCCTTCAGTTGCAATCTTACTTCGGAATTGAGGTTGGAAAGTATTTCTGCTCGTTTCCATCGTACACTTATGAAGTACCCAAGACATGTCTTGTTCCGGTTCGGACTTTGATCTTTCCGATAGTTAACCGCTAGCGTTCTTTAGAGGGCATTTTGCGGCTTTAGCAATGCTACGTGCCTTACATGGACGCGACAGGAAAGCTCTCCAATGGCACGAGGTTTTGTCTGCTATACATCTACTTTGTTTGACTATTGGGGACGACACTTTACATCTTCGTAGTACTAAAGTAGTACTCCGAGCGTCTCTGAACGCCATCTTCTCGCCACTCGAATTCCACGTGACTAGTCCTCACGTGGAAGAGGAGTCTTAGGTACTCAATCTGATTGAGCGGTAAGAGAGACACTAATCAGGCGGCCAACTTTATCTACTTCTGCTGGTCTGTCAGCTCTCCTGTGTGCTGAATTTTCGCAGCATAGCTCGAATTCTTTCTAGTTCTTCCCCATTTGAGTTGCGGAACAGATACACGCCGTGGATGAGACGCGACTGAATGGTGGTTGATCCCCAGATTCTAGCTGCCAGACAGCGCTTGACGCCACAAGTACTGAGCGTTCTAGTTGCGCACTACAAGTGACTCCCTGCTTGTGTTTACCTAATGACGGATTGATGCCGCTCTCCGTCAATGTCTGCACACATGGCCTCGAAAGAGACGTGTCACAGACGTTCCAGCGCCAAGAAACTTATCATGTTTATGGTCACTCTCCCAACAGGTGATGTTCCTGAAATCTGACTCCAATTGTGGTGATTCAGCTGGGGCCTAATCCCGTCGAAGTCTTCTCTGGGCGCGGCAAGGTTAAGGTGAAGCCTAAGGAGTGTTGTGTCATCGGAGATACGGATGTCATATACTTTCTTCCTAACGACTTACCCTTCCGACTCAACGTCTGCCATCGAAAAGAGTGCTCCACCGTCTCGAACACTGTGGTCGAAACCACGCACCGCACTATAACTCGTGTAATATCTACATCTGTACCGTCTGCTGTCTCAAAGGACGTTAATAACAGTGGTGTAAAGAAAAGGCATCTTGCGGATGACGAGGGCGCATGGAACCAACTGAAGGTTAGTGCCATTGCAATCGCCGATTGAATCGACCACCGTCCTTCGTAATTTTGATGCGATGTTTCTCTAGAATCTTCTGTATCCAAGGACATCGGGAATCCTGCTCTGAACGCGACCTTGTCCTGTATGGACAGTTCTACCATCTTCTTCTGCTCCTCACCAGTGTCCATTTCATTGTCGAAACCCAGGAGGAGATCAATTGGCACCGAAATGACGCAAATGCAGGCACAGTTCCAATGATCGCATCCGGCCGCAGCCTAAAACCTGTAGAGATTCCAGCTTCAAAGCTACGGAGAACTAAGTTTTCGCTGAACTTTCCGCCCTCATCATTTCACCTCTTGCACACCACGGGTTTGCCCCAGTCAGCCAACAGTGGTTGTGTTCGTCTGCAGGATGTGATTGAGGTGAGCCACAATAATACAATGCATCATTGCCTCTACATCATCCATGACATATTTAGAGGTATTTGGCTCATGCTACGTAACGAGAGTTCCTCCTCTGACCTTAATTGCCACACCACATATTGAGGGGAAGTGAGCTATGCATAATCAGAGGCTCGACAGTAGCTAGCGCGAGGAGCTTAAACCTTTGCATTGGGTGAGTGCATGATAACGGGGCGGGATTAAGGTACTCTACTTCGCTAGTTCGGGGTCTATCCCCGGATGCCCAGGACACATTTTCGATTAGGTGTTAAGCGTTGTCGTATCGTCGCATATTAGACTAGGTTCCTGAGAGTGCCGTTTACGAATACTGGTTCTGGGTGCTGAGGATTGTCCTTCCGGCTTACCCTTTGCACCTATCGTGCCTGGAACATGTGCAATCGAGTTGCTACTGGGTGCGATGGCAGTCAGGTCCTGAGTAGAGTGGGATTTTTAATTTTTCCAGATAATGCAGTTGTTTAGATTACTCACCTGTTTCTCGCACAGGGTGATGTGCAGGTTGCCATACTATCAAACTACATGGTTGATGTTGACTGGATTCTTTCCGGTGAGGATCTTTCCATCCATCAACAGTGATTTTGGATGTCAGTCACGTCTAGGAGTGCTGGAGAGGAGTTTCTGATCTGTAAAAAATGATCCTGAATGCAGAGTGCCCTCTGTTGAGAAGAATTCCAGTCATCATGATACATGGCGAAAGAGGTGGTTCGTTAGACCTTTTGAATGTACGGTAAATCGTCTCATTCATCCCTGACCATGATGAAAATTCGACATCAGGCTCTTTGTCCCCGCAGGATTTAAGTGTCAGTGTGCAGGAAATAGAGTCCATGAAACACAAGCAAGCTAACTTCACCCGGGACTGTGCAGAACCGGAAGTCGAAAAATTGGGTCTTGTACCAACCTCCCTTGCCTATATCGTTTGGAACGCATCATTCCAAGGCCATGTTACTCTTGTATGAGACCGGTCTGCGAGTTGTTGTCCACACTGCCAACTTGATTCACGCCGACTGGAACAACAAGACCCAAGGCCTGTGGATGCAAGACTTTCCGCGGAAGACATCCTTGACGCACCGCGTGTCGTCTGGCTTTGAGGAAGATTTGGTCGAATATCTCACGCACCTGAAGGTATAAGAAGTATATGAACCGAATCTTCAGTTTTTTAAAGATAAGCAATGTCGTTGGGTGATGTGAAAGAAAGTCTCAACAGAACCTAGCCCTCATGAGCTCTTCATTGTTTCTTCAGTGGGAAGGATATACCACATCACTTCCTTCCACTGGGCCGATAAAGGTGAACGCGCAATTCTTCCGCACGTTCGACTTCAGCTCCGCTACTGTAAGATTTCCATTTTGCCATGACTTGGATAGAAAGCTCGCGACTATGCAGTGCCTCGAGGCAATGCCTGTTTCTTTGGAAAGCAAATAACTCGGTTTTGACTATCATGAATGTAACGATTATGGTATCTTGCAGGTCAGGCTAGTGGCGTCAGTGCCAGGTTATCATCGGGATCGTGATATTTCCAAGTTTGGACACATGAAGATGCTGCAGCTGCTGAAAGACGAGCGATTCGACTCTGACTTTGTCCGTTCTCCCCTAGTGTTTCAGGTATGTACCATTTCTTTCAGGGGAATCGATCACACCTACGTGCTGTTTCCCCATCTCATTCCCGTTACGAGAGAATGGTTCTTAGGGCTGAAATTGGTTCCCCTCGTGCAGGGGTTCCATATTCTCTCTATGATTGGGTTCGAATCCCTTTCTCTCGACTTGCAGTCGGAAAGATTCACTTGAGCGAGACATGCCAGGGTATCTTGCGCTAACATCAGATTGGCTGTAGTGCTGCGGCGGCGGGCGGTCTTGCAGTGTTTTCACGTGGTCTTCTTTTCAATATGCTGACCTACTTTGTTCGCTGCAGTTTTCATCCCTGGGTTCTATAAATGAGCAATGGATAGATGAGATGAGGAGCTCCATGTCTGCTGGCAAGACAACAAGCGGTGATGACTTGGGTATAGGTGAAGTGTCTTTCGTTTGGCCTACTGTAGAGGACATTCGTTGTTCATTGGAGGTATGTCCTTTGCACACTCGAGCTCATTCATGGAATACAGTGCATGAAAGTTTCCGAAGGCGGCTAAGGACGACGAATTGCTCTAATTGCTCGACGAATGGCGACGAATTGTGTTCTAACGATCTGCTGCATCTAGGGATATGCCGCTGGCAACTCCGTCCCAAGTCCACAAAAAAATGTCAAGGCAGTGCAAAAGTCCTACTGGGCAAAATGGCGAGCTGATCATTGTGGGAGGGGGTAAGATACTCTACAAAGGACGTGTAAGCAGAGCAGACTATCTGTGCGAACAAAACCCATTTGTTTTCGTCGTCATCAGTTGTGAGGAACCCCTTGTCACGCCAATATGGCTGCTTCCTTGCGGATTGTGTGTTATCACTTTACGAGCGTTTTCGAAGACAACTCTGTAAATTATCGAAATTCGTGAATGCAGAACTCTCTCCTGCTATTCTCGTAAATAATTTCGTTGCTTCTGGAATGAAGGCGCACTTCACATACATCTATTTTTGTCGGCGAGCATGCTTGTAGTGATGTTCTCAGACCATAAGGTCTACATACAGCTGAGGTTCACTTCTCGCATCGGAGTGATTACGAGAGAACATATCATGCCAATGCTTTACAATTTGACTTGTGACTTGTGACAATGATCTCTGTCTGCAGTCGAGCAATGCCTCACATCAAGACATATGCCCGATATAACGGCCAGACTCTAGCGTAAGCTTTTCAACTTCCCATAAACTTATCTTTGACCCCTAGCTAGTGTCCTGCTCCTTGATGTCTTTACACTATCAGGGTGGTTCAAGTCTAACTTGATAGTTCTTCTGTTAAGGTCACTGTCAACTTGCCGGGACTGTCTTCACAAGCTGTACCCTTTAAATCAATCTCCTAATCTTTTCATAAAATAATGAAGATTTCCCAGTAGTCGCAGTTTTGAATACAAGACTTTACAGTTACCATGTGTGCATCCGAGATTGCGACGTAAGCATTCATTCCGAATATCTTGTTATCTTCAAAGCCGTAAAATTGCAACCTTGAACTCCTTGTCATGTTTATCAAGTAATGATCCGTTCTTGGATAATGTAGTTGAATTTCTCCAGGGGTGTGGAGACTGACGTATCTTGTTTGGAAACAGATGGTTTCTACTCACTTCTTCAAACCTGAGCAAAGCCGCGTGGGGCTCCCTACAGAAACAGAACAGTCAGCTGATGATCAGATCTTATGAGGTTTATATTTTGACTTGATTGATTTGGTTGTTCTCTTGTCCCTCTTGTTTATGATTGTTTGAGCTGGGAAGGGGCGTATTTGCTATTGTTACGAATGAGAGCGACACTCTTTTACGTACGGGTTAACTCAAAACATATTCAATTGCAGCTGGGTGTTCTGTTCCTGCCGTCGACTGTTCAAAGGGCCGTCGGTAGTACGTTTTCATGCACTGGGAACGCTCACTCGGTAAGATACTTCGATGCGTTCTATTGCCCTCTCTGTTTTGGACAATTTTTTGCCCATCTTCCTATTAATTCTTTCCATACTGTTCCAACAGAAGGAGATTGGACGAGCGGAGGCATCGACTTTCAGTGAAAACGAATATCAACAATTGCGTGGGAGGCCTGGTCGTCTCGTAACTACAAATTGGGAAGATGATCCATCTTTTGAACCTTTCGCACGTCTGCCTGTTCCATACTCGTTGCCTCCTCCGCGGTATGGACCTAGAGGTGCGTCTATACTGAAGCGAATTTGGACATTAACAAATGAGTTGAAATTAGTTCGAATCGGTCACTTAATAATCCCAAAAAACGACTTATTGGTTGAGGAGAATATGTTGACCACTATAGATGTCCTTATATGTTCTAGTTCTTTTTATCAAACCGAACGCAGTTTGACAACGGATGGCTGCAGCGGTTGCCAAAGATTGAAATTGTGTCTCACACAGCACTATGTATATCGCAGATGTACCTTGGTCATGGGATTGTGTGTACACGAAACCGGATATCTTTGGGGAGGTCTGGCCAAGAGACGTTCAGTTCTACGCTGCTCAAGGGCCCATGTAAACGTAAGTTGGGTGTAACCTTTTGTCACTCCACAGAAGTAAAGACTGGTTTGATAAGAAGGAAATGTCACTAATTGAATATATCTGGTTATGGACTCGTTCATATAAGGGGCTTGAGGGCACCTTTATTGAACGGTTGTGTCTGGTAAAGTCATGTATATATCTCATTGTTTTGTCTTTTCCAATGTGGTTATCCACTTTAGTGAGAATGGCTTTAGCAGATGTTAAAAGTAGTTTGATTACAGAACTATGTTCATAAAGGAGTCCGCTGGTTCTCAAATAGCTGGATTTTCAGTCTATTTTCATTACGAAGATGTCACTGCCGAGAAGGCTCAAGTGTTGTAGAAGGCATTGGGTTGTGCAGATCAAAGCCCTTCCTATGGGAATTCTTACTTACGGCCGGAAATATCTTCTTGTTTCGTACCGACTTTTACGGGCAAGATAGTGTATTCTGAAATTTGAGGGCACATTTTATTGGGTGAAGTTGAAGTAGTGTATCTCATCTGCATTCAGTGGGACAATTGGCGTGCGTTCAAGAAACTCGCATTTTCGAAATCCATGTATCCTATAATCGCACCGTTGGAACTGCAGAAATTATTCCGCTGGCTAATGCTAAACTAATCCGGTCGTAAATTAATTCTTAGCTATAGAGTCACGAATTTCTGCAATTTATAGACGGAAAGTTTGTTTCAAGTTTCTTGTACATCGACAACTGGAACTGAAATATTGAATCATTGATCTACATCCCAAGCGAAAAATTGGTGGAACTCTTGCTGGTCATATCATGAAACATCTCCGCAAACAAATCCATGTACACCTCACATGATAAAGTTGTAACCAGTGTGTTTTGTGTACATAACATGTACACAAAACATATGCTCATATGCATACTTTACATATGACAAGCAACAATATTTTAAATTGTATCCAATATTTATTAATGGAAAAAATAAAAATTACAATGCCATGCTTCTAATTATGTCAATGGACTCTTTTGATTAGAAGTCAATAGACCAATTAGGAAATTACGGCATACGGTTTCATTCATATAAAATTTCACATGTTCAACGCATATTCTGATATTGAAAACACATTTGAAAAAAGCTGGTTTCCAAGTATACCAAGTGCCCTAAATAAAAAATATTAGAATTATCTCTTATGCATATTACTTTGCATGTTTGTAATCTTTCAATAGTGATAATTTGACAAGAATTAGACTTTGTTATATTAAAATTTAATACTCATAATTATTTTTTGAGTATTATATATTATAGATTGAATTTTTTGATAATTCCATGTCTTTGTTTTTTTTTTTTTTCAAATTTCAGGTGATTATATATGACAAGTCATATGTTAAGTCATAATAAATCAAAAATATATCGATAAACAACATAAGATTTTGACATGAAAATTACATTGAGGATCTACTTTATATATAGAATTAGTGAAAATTCCTTTTAGATTATTTTTTTTTAAAGATAAAATTTAAATTTATTGTTACTTTTGCTTGTTCATTTGAATTTTGAAATTTTTTTCTTTGATTACTTATTTGGGGAAAAAATTCAAAAAATTTTATGTTTTTTTATTCCGTAAGATTGACATGTACAATAAAATTTATCTTTTACAGACCACAAGTTGTTTGATTATATATTATATTGCATGTGAATATAAAATTATTTTTTTGTTCTGCAATAACATTTAAGAAAGAATCAATCTTGCACAAGCATCTTCTATTTCAAAGATATCTTTAGCTTATCTCATATCATAAAGTAGGGTGTATACATAACCTATAAGCGAACAACAGAAAAGTAATCATTTTAGAGTTTCAAACCTGGAGATTTTGATCACAAAATATTAGTTGTTTAGTATGAATAATCATTCCTCTCAGATTGTAATATGTGTAATATATATGATCAAATCTGGTTTTCATGCAATTATTAATAAATTCATTGATGGCAGAGCTTACTAATGCTTTGAAATCTAACCCCTAATTAGTTTTTGAAATTCATCGCAACTATATTACATTTAGATGAAGGTACAATCATATGATATACCAGATTTGGCCAATCAAATTTGACTTTTGCCAAACAATCAAGAAAACAATACAATACAGAAAACATATTATTAGACACCCAAGTGATACCAAGTACAAATAAAAAGAAACTCAAACAAAAAAAAAAACTCTTAGTTGTTTCTATAAGAAGTTTGGCTCGTACAAAATTTGAGCCAACCCTTGTATAAGTATTAACAAACCTGGTCTAAATGATCTTACTATAATCAATTAGAGTCAATCAAGACGTGTTACTTTTTCAAAATGTTCACAATGTATGCAAAGTCGAATTTCCAAGACTTGAATATATTTTAATAGATTTAATAGATTTAATAGATTTTTTTAAAAATAATGTACACTTCGGACAAAATGAGAATGAAGATTTTGAACTATAAACTTGAAACACATGCAGTTTCTAAATTTCGAAGAATTTTCATAATTTGAAAGCGTAACTTTTTGTTGAATCTTGTGGCATCGTTGATGAATTAGATACTTCTTCTATCGCAGGAAAAAAAAGTGGTAAAATCTACGTAGTTTTCAAAATTTCTTACGAATTAATAATAATGTATAATAGGTTGTACAGTAATATATGAAAAAGCTGTCATGTTAAAATTCTTAGAGTTTATATTCGTTTTTTTGGGCTTAAAAGCACACGATACTAAAAAATGTTACTTTGCCAGTGTTCTTTGTATGGTTAATTCATACTCCTGTAAAAATGATTGAGTTTTCAAAGAAATTTCCAATAAAATTCATACAAAAATAAACTGTCAGCGTAAAGCATATTTTATTGGATAAGACTTATTGTACCATCAGAGTGTGAAAGTGATGTGGCTCGATTGAGATTCAAGTGCACGAAATATCGACTTTTAATGAATTGAATGTCAACTGCAAATCTCCATCTCCACACGAGAATCCGTGTGTGCGATACCTGATCTTGGCTTTGCGTCTCTCAGACTCACAGTGGCACTGAAAGCGTAGTCAACATCTTCCAATACAGTACGGAGTTTTGTCACCAGATGTTGAGTGAGAACAGTACGATGATGATGAAGAAGTGACTCAATGGGTTCCAAATCGGAATGTGTAACGTGTGTAATCACTGCGCCATGTTTGAGACTTTTCTGGACACCTTGAAACAGTCAAGTCGTTGGATTATATTACACTGATCAATCGGAATTATGCCCTTCTTTTCAGCTTCGTGAGCATCATGACTACCAATCCATATACTTCATGTGAGGTTTATTTCGCTCGAGAATCTCGACTTCGCTGACCCTTGACGACGAAAAATATTTGAATGGCGCACACACACGCATTAATTTCCAGGTTTATGTCTAGGCTTCGAAATCTTTGACGAAGTCCATGAATTCGAAACAGCATGAGATTCCCAACAACATCCACAACTGGCCGAACTTTCATGATTCGGATTCCCAAGACTCCTCCTCACCCACCACTTGAGAAACTTGAACGAACTGGAATAAAATATTGTTGTGAACTCGCAGCTCCAGCTCGGAACATGAAATGCACCCTCCCCTGCCCTTCCCCTTCCCCTTCCCCATCTTCGTAGTAAGTTTGTACACATAGATCACAAGAATCTTCCTCAACTCACCATCCCTTCAGAAGTTCAGATTCATTGTGCGTGTACGTACAAGGTCGTAAGAAGATGCGGCCAAAAGAATCTACAGATTGCAGCCCTCACTCCTTTTGCATTTACTCCCTTCACACTCATGTACATGTACAGGCTGACTGCACATGAAACACATAGGATCAGGTAGTTCTCCTGCCAGGACACTTCTACTCTCGCTGTCCTGTCCACCTCTACCTTACTGCTTGACACCTGATGAGCACTACACCCCAAACTTACCCTTCTTGGGTGCTATCAGAGAAATTGCCAAACCTGGACACCTCTTCTACATTACTGTGTGTAATATTCATTCACTCATCCATTCATCATCCATTATATGTACGAGTATACCCAGAGGATGATAAGATGCATCACCTCCAATCCCAATCCCCATTCCGCCCCACTCCTCTGGTACAACAGTGGTCTCCACCAGGGCGAGACAGTCCGTCCTAGCACCCATCCGCAGCTCAGTGGGAAGGGCCTCATGCACTAGTAGAGTCTGACGAGGATGCGTTCATTCATAATGGAAGGAAGGGACCATCCAAGGATTAAATGGCATTCGCATGAAGGATACAGAGAGAGTGAGAGAGAGAGCGGATCGAAAGTGTAATGGTGAGTTTGGTTGTTTTGATTGTAGGGTGGGAGATGGTTTGGATTACTCGAAGTTGTCTTTAAGGCAAAGTTTCTCTTTTCATATTGAATACTTCTGACGACCCAACATCATGCAACAGTGCAGATCTGGTTCCAACTTAAGTTATTCGTGGGCAATCTCGAACTCACATGGATCCAGAGATCTTTGCACAGATGCAATTTTCAGCTGGGTTCATCAGAATGGGTTTGGATTTTGAGTCTTTCGAGGGAACTCAGACTGCCATAAACTGCACCGTTCGCAAAGTAAGCACGAACAATTAACCAGAGAACTGTTTGCGCACATGCATGTCCTTCTATTCTCTGAGCTCAGGTCCTCAAAGCTGAAAAAGCAAGGGCTGTCGGGCAAGGTAAATCAAGCAAGAATCGATCAGAATAGGAGGAGGTAATCAAGTCTAATCTTAGATGGTCACTGTCACTGTCAGCTTCTTCGAGCTAGTTATACAGTTGCTTAAGTATCGATCAGTATGCTCTAATATAATCTATGACTTTATTCCAGTCCCTCAAATTTTTTATCCAAAACCTCTTTTTATCGAATTATAATCGTGAGCTCACTAGAGCCACTAGTCAATACAGGCTGCATGATCTAAGAACGAGTGATACCAAATCCCCTCACAAATAAAGATATTTCCTGCCGGAGATCTAACTTGTCAGAATATCAGCATACTAAGCATAAGTAAAAACCCAGTTGCAGATTATAATATACAAGCAAAAGATCCTGCCATGATTAACTGAAAAGAGTCTTATAATGTTCTGGGAAAACTACTTTTTTGAAAATATCTTTTGTTTTAATTGAAATTTTAATCAGTACAGTATCCATGGCTTTGATTCTCATTTGAGTCAATACATTTCACTTCAATTTTGGAATTATTCCAAGGAAAATAACTTCAATCATAGAGTGAAACCAACATTCCGAGCGCAATATAGGAAAGCTTGGTACCGAACATTCGTTGATATATTATTACAAGGGATCTTTTGTTGGCCAAAGTAATTTCTAGCACTTCAATACCGTGATCAGGTCCTAAGACTTCTTTGTGTGGATGTCCGTTATCATGAGCGGAAGGCATACAAAACTGACTTTTAGTGTTTTATGTTAAACAATTCCAATTATATTGTACATATGCTCCATATCTCCATCTCTAACTGCTCAATAATGTCAAGATCAGATCTTGATACTTTTTACTCCATACTCTCTCCGTATAAAAAGAGTACAATGATAGTTTTGCAAGGATACTTTTGAATCACATATGTTTATGCTCGAATCAAACACAATGATGTATGATCGTATACATAGATACTGGTGTGGTACTAGTACAACAATTCATAGTATTTTTCTGTCCCA